TCACTGCTTTGCTCCCTTTCCCTGCAGCCAGGTGGGCTTTTGGTGGCCTTTGGAGCCTGGAAGTCCCCAGGGGCTTCTGGGCCGGGTCCAGTCCGAAAGCGGGGTGCGGCCAGACCCCGCGCGTCGCCTTCCCTCCGCAGCCCCCTCCAGCCGTCGGGGAAAGGCTTTGCCGTCCTGCCCCATAAAAGCCTCCGACCTTCTCCTAAGGCTGGGTCCGGCCGGCATCCGTGTAACCCGGCACGCTGCCTGCATGGGTGGCGGGATGCTTAGAGGGAGGCTGCTGCCCCCCCTAATCCGGCTTTGGGCAGGCCACGGCTAGTATGACCCGTCCCGCCTCGACCCCTCGCTGGCACCCGCCCTCCTTGGTTTCGGGATGACAAGGGATACGTCCCCCACGGCATCTGTAAGGGGCTGGGAGAGGCACTGTCCCATCCCGGCCGCTGGCAAGCAGAACGGTGCCGCAGCAAAGCCTGCCTTTTCTCTCTGCAGGTGAAGTATTATGGTGATTAGGTGTCCTGCTTGTAAACGTGCTCCTATGGAAAGGAACGGGCATCGGATGGTCGTGGCCTCGAGTAAATGTGACGGGCGGGACGCCTTTAGAGAATCCTGATCCCCCCCCCGGGGCACCCTGAAGCGCTCCCACCAGGTAACGTGCATCGCTCCCCTCTCCCGACCGCTTTGGGCATCTGACAATAGCCCTGTTGTCTCTGAGACCAAAGCCTGGGCACGGCTCCGTGCTCCGAGCGGGGCTTTGGGCTGGTCTCTCTCAGCCCGAGGGCCCTACAACACACTCAGCAGTGAAGATGGGTAGAAACCAGCTAGAAAGTTGTCGCACCTTTTCAAGCACTGATTTTGTTGCCGACTGACTCTTTGTAGCTGGACAGCCGTTTTTACGGCGTGGCAATTACTTTGCACCTGTGGCCGGTCTACATTTATTGCATGATTCGCCAGTGAATTGCATCACATATGTAACATGTGGCAGGGGCCGAAGGTGCCAGCTGCAGCAGGAGTGTGCATTTCTCCCGGCTAATAACAGCCCGAAACAGAGTCTCTGGCCGCGCTGGGGTGGGGATCTGCTCACAAAATGGCATCTGCATCGTCTTGCACAGTAAAGCTTTTAATTGCCATAAAGCCGCATTACAGTGGCTAATGAGGGGCTTGTACAAGTGCCTTTGCGTGTGAAGCACCTGCACGACGGGGCTCTGAGCACTTGCTCTCCCACGGCTCAACAACAAACCGTGTTCCCAAAGCACCTCTGTTGGCAGGAAGCCTCCAGGCTTGTCCTTCGCTCTCCCGGCAGATGCAATGGGCTTCTCCGGAGCTGTGTAAGGCTGGGGTTGTCTGCACAGAGTGTGACTCAGCAGCAAAAGTGAATACACTCCTTCATACAGTCCCCTTACACACACACATGCCCTGCAGGCCCCCCATTCACTCCCCTACACACACACCCTACACCCCCATACACTCCCCTACACACACACACACTATACCCTCCCCATAGTCTCCCCTGCACGTGCATGCACACACACACACGTGCATGGTCCGGCTCCCAGCCTTGAGACTGGGATTTCTAGGCCTGGGCTTGAGGCAAAGGCCCGTCCTGGGTGGCAAAGACTGTGAGAGCAAGTGCCCCGAATTCACCCCGTGGAAGCTGGAACTGCAACTGCCCCCTGGACTTGTTTCTCCAGTAGCTCCTCCTGGCAGGAAGGCATCCGCCAGGGCAGCGCTCGGTCCAGACTTGCTCGATCCAGTCTTGCTCCGTTCGCACGCACCTGATCCACACGCTGAATTTTATAAGGGCTCTCGGAGAACCTGGGCACCCGTTCGCTTTGCGGGCGTTGTAACAACCCGGCTGCAAAGTCCCGCGCTACCAGCCTGCTCTTGCCTGCAGCCGTGTTGCGTGCAGAGTAAAGCGGCTCAGTTGGTTCCCACCACGCTCGTCGGTTTTGTTCCCCGGACTCCCACGTCCGGGCACCGTGTTTGCAGCTGTCTGCAGCCGCTGCAAGCCTGCCGCTTCCTGGACAGCGCCGTTGTGGTTTCTGCGCGGATCAGCCCATGGCAGCCATGTCAGAGCTTTGCGCTGGTCCAGGGGATCTCTCCCGGCTGAGGCTAGGCAACAAGCTCAACAAAACAAGCCCTTATCAGGGTGACGGAGCAGGGGGAAGTGTTAGCCGCGAGGACGTAGGTCACCATCGGGTGTGTGGGCTGTCGCACTGCATTACTCCCGCGTCTGCCCACTCGACCCGGAGCCTGCAGGACTCCCAGGAAAGCCAACGCCCGGTTTGAGGAACTGAAATTTTACCATCAGAGTTGCAAGATGCACGCGCTGGGCCCCAAACCCTCTCACTGATCCCTCTCCCATCCCCACGTCAGAGGAAAAGGAGGAACCCGAGCTTGTGAAAGCTGCTCGTGGGTTGTCGCTGCCTGTAGCAGCATTTGCAAACCCCCAAGTGCTTCATAATAAGGCAGGGAACAATTTAAGTGCATCCTGCCTCTCATCTGGCCTACATGATGGCCCCAGGGAGAAGTGCGGTCATAAAACCGTAGAAAAACCAGGCTGGGGGTCACATCTAGCCCAACCCCCTGCTCAGGCCTTGCTGGAGCCATCTCACACTGGTTTGTCTTCGCCTAGTCTTAAAAACTTGGTGAACGCCCCTTGTATGCAGGTGCCAGGCAAGACACCTGAGAGGTCAGCAGCATCCTTCAACTTGCCCCTGGGTAAAGCAGGGGGATGAGGGCGCTACCCGTATCTCGTCGGTGCAAGAATGAGAAGGAGATTGTTCAAAGACACTTGTTTCTTCACCACCCGGCCGCTGGCAGGCAGCAGGGGCAGAGTTAAGGGTGTTCTGGGCATAATAGCACAGGAGGAGAAAGATATGTTTAGGCCATAGGCTGGGAGCCCTTGGGCAGCCCAGACGGTCACCTCCAGGTAACACAGTATTACATGCATTTGACCTCTCCACTCGCCCCATCTTCCTGCTGGGACAGCAGCATCCTCCAAGCTACCAGCGGAGGCTGCTCCTGCTGCGACGCGCCTGGTGGCACTGGCTGGTTGGCGTTGGTGACCCGTGAAACCGCGGTCCTGGAAACTGGCCTGTGTTGCTGCTCGCTACGTCGGGCTCTGGGTCCTGGGACATCTCACAGCTTTTGTTCTCCTCTAGACAGGGGCAGAGTCCGGGCGTCGTGCTCTCCGCTCCCTTCGAGCGCCGCGTGCTTCCTCGCTCCTCCTCGCCGGCCAGTCGCCGTCTCCGGAGCAGCGAGCAGGATGGTCGGATTCAAGCCCACTGATGTGCCCCCGACGGCCGCGGTGAAGTTCGTGGGGGCCGGGACGGCGGCCTGCATCGCCGACCTCATCACCTTCCCCCTGGACACGGCCAAAGTCAGGCTGCAGGTGAGGTGCCCTGGGGCCCTGGCGAATCAACGTCTGGAGCTGAGTCCCCTCCTGGCCGATGGGCCTTAGAGCAGTAGCAGTGAAGCAAGAGAGGCAGAGCCATCAGCCCGACCACGGCCAGTGCAACAGGTGCCTCTACTGCATCGTCCCTGCCCAGTCCCCTCTCCTGATGCTGAGTCTAAAGCCACCGTCGAGACTCATCCCTCTGCTCCTAGTCCTTGTTGTACAGACCAGGCATTTACCTCTTACCCCTCCATGTCCCTTGCTCAGCAAAGCCCTGCTGGTTTGGCTCCTTTGCATTGCGGTGGCCTGATCCTCCCAGAAGCTGGGCATGGTCCTGAGTATCCCCAAGTCCCAGGCGGGCCCCTTGGGCAGGGTGGGGAGCTGCTTTGAAAGCCCATTGCTCCTCCCTGAAATCGGGGGACCCCAGGGCTTCGTACGCTATTCCCAGATGCTGCAGTGGGACTCTAATGAGGTGGCGTGATGCTGTCTTCCCTGAGACCACGGCCTTTCCCAGCTGCACAGGAGGCCCCACTAGCTCAGGGGAAGCGAGGGCATCCAAAGAGGCTGTTGATCCTGCACCGAGCCCGCTGTGTGTGGCAGGTCCACGCCATCCGCCAGGCATGCAGGCAGCAGGCTGGGAGCACTTGGGCAGCACGGCTCAAGGCCTCCACGGGACAGGATATTACATCTGACCTCTCGGACGTGGGGTCCAGAGGCCGTGGAAGCTAAATAAGCCCCGGGCTCTTGCAATGAGCTGGTCATGCCACATCTGATGTGCCAGTGCCAGCCTGCCCAGCCCTGCCTTGCAGAGCTACCTGCAGTTGCTCTTTCAATGATCAAGGGGCCGCGGCTTTTGGGGGGTTGGTCTGGTGCAAGGGGCTCACAGC